TTTTTTTTCCCCCCACTATTTACTTATCAACAACTCCGTCATGAATATTATTGCACGAGTGTGTTTCGCCTTATAAGCGTTTTAAAACGCTTACGCGAGCTTCTTGTTCGCGAGGAATTTCCTTTCTTGTAAAAAGAATTTAATTTTCTCACACGAATTCTTCCTTCTCACACCCTTCGCGCGTGGAATTTTTCAAATTCCAATCCCGTTCCAATACGGTTAAACAAAATCTCTCTTTATCACCTTACCCTTTTAATTCTAATTCCCGAAGAATTTACCTAACCTAACCTAAAATTAAGTTCTCGAATGCGTCGATCGAAAATATATTTTCCATCCTCTCGCCCGTTCCGCGCGAGAAAGAAAGAAAGGAGACGTGTTTATTTTCAGATCGAGCGAAATATTTCCAGTATTATAATTTCCCGATAAAATCCCCGCGTCGAATCGAGCCGCGTCTGCTGCACCGTTTTAATCCGTCACCGTTCGTTCGTTCGTTCGTTCGGTCGGCTCGTTTAAAATTGAATGATCGCGCCGCCCCGATATTTGCGAGAGCATCGATTTCCGTTCGGCCAGGCCGAGGAGGAGGCGCGGGATCGTCGCCACGATTACGTCCAATTACGGTTGGCGGAAGGCGGCGGTGGCGCGGGGATGGAGGGGAGGGGACGGCGGGTCGTGGTCGTTCGATCGGGCGGGCGCACCGCGTGTTATCTTAAGGCGGCGGTCACCTAGATATCGGCATTGTTATCCCGCCTGACCGCAGCCACTTAACCGAGTCGTAAACCCCCCTCCCTTCCCACCTCCTCATTCCCCCCTCCGCCCCTCCATCCCACTCCCCCGGCCCCTCCCCCGCCCGCCACGAGTTCAACTTTATCCTTCAACAGGTGTTTAGGGAAATACAATAATGTCGCGCATGCGCCCGCAACTTCTTAAGGTCGGAAAGTTCGTCCGAACAATCTGACCGCGGCCAAGCCCGCGAACCCGTCGTCACGGCATCCGCGTACCGAGAGAGTTAGTTAATCGAGTTTCTGGGCTAGTTGGAATTTTTTTCCTTTTTCTCCTTCCCTCCCCGCGACACCTCCCGCGAAGAATTGCTCGCGGAACGGTTGTCCATTCTCTCTCTCTCTCTCTCTCTTTCTTTTTTTTTCCTTCCTCCGGCGAGTCGAGAGAGAGAGAGAGAGAAGAAGAGAGTAATTTAAG